TAATACATTTTATTATTTGAAAAAGGAAAAATAAAAATCAGGTAAAAAGTTTCTTTTAATTTGAATTTGCAATCTTTCGAGTAAATATCTTCTTTTCTTCTTCTTTCTTATCTCAAAGCCATGATAATCATGGTGGCTAGTTAGCGACTGCTTTTACTGTAAGCGCACCACATGTCTACACATGTGAAAATCAGTTCGACTTTGCACTTACAAATGTGCCAGAGCCCCGTTTGGTTACTTGCACTCGCTGGTGGGGTAGGACTTTTGCAAGAATCGGGGGCCTTTGGAGCATTTTCTTTAAACAGAAAAAAGTGTCCAATGCGGGAATCGAACCCGGGTCGTAGTGGTCGAAAACCAAACGGTTTAACCAGCCTTCCACCGACCCCCCCTCTTCCACCGAGTAAATATACTGTTCTTCAACGGGCTGATACTTTATTTAAGGGCAAATTTTTATTTTTACTTTTTCAAATAATTTCTGGGTAACTATTGCTCACATTAATTATTTTTTTTTTACTAAAAATTTTGATATTAAAAATAAAGAAAGGCATATCCTGACCAGAAGCACATGTACTTTTACAGAAGGCAGAGCACCATCTGGTGGAACTGAAATCAACTAAACATTGATTTAACCTGTTCCCTGATATTTGGCCAACCCAATTTCTTGATAAATCAAGAAAAAAGCCATCCATGAACGCGTTTCGCGCTGTTGGCCCTCGTCAGCGTGGAGTAGGCTGTACTAAAACTTTTGGAATACTTGTCTTCTCTCTCCCGTGACAATATTATTTTTTTTTAAATTGAATATTAAAAATAATGGTCACACACACATACACGCAATAAAATATTTATAATTAATAATGATAAAATATAGAATACTTTTAAAAAATAATATGATATATATATATTATATAATCTAAAATGCAAATATTTTATTTTTTAAAAAACATACATTTCATTTTCATTCATTGACTGTTCTATATTTTTTTTTACCATAGATTTAGAATATAACACTTTAATTATATATATATATATATATATACATTGTTGTAAATATGTATAGTTGAACCTACCTATTTTTTAAAATCACGATTATAGAATTCATTCTATAAATTTTATATTGCTGTGATAAATAATTTTTATGTGTAAATTTACTTCAAGTAATTCAAAATAAAAACTACTTGAAAGGTAAATAACTATCTTTCTTTTTCCACGATTGCACCTCTTTTTCAACAACAAAAAAAAAAAAATCATAACATATATATATGAAAAAACAATAGAAAAAAAGAAAAGATAAGTGGGTCAGGTGTTGATATTAGAAATAAAAAAGGCATCTCCTGGCCACGAGCACATGTGCTTTAGGAGTGGTCAGGAGATGCCTTTTTTTATTTTTAATATATATATATATATGGATTACACAAAAATGAATTTATTTGCCAATATCTCATTTGGGAGAACGCCACCTCAAATATTGGAAAATAAATTCCTTTTCGATCCCTATATATATATGTTTTGTGGAAAATCCAAATACTTGTATCATATATAAATATACGACGTGTTAATGTGTTTTAGAATTTTTATATGAGTGTTGAACTTTTCTGGATAATTGAATATTTGGATAATTGGAATTCTGATCATTTGAAGTTTAGATAATTGGAAATCTGATTAATGGAAATTCTGAAAATTAAAAGTTCGTATAATCATAATTCAGATAAGGTCCAGATAAATTGGCATCGAATAATTGAAATTCGGATATTTGAATTAAGTTAATTGGAAACTTGGATAATCGAAGATTTACTGTATGAATATATTTAATAAACAATTCTCTTCAAATAGTTTCTGAGTGTTGTATATTGCAATATAATTAAAGAACTGATAGATATATATTATAAATATATAGAATATATACATATAAGTATATATATATGAAAAGATAATAGAAAAAAAAAACACACGTGCTCCTGGTCAGGATATGCCTTCTTTATTTTTAATATTTGTAATATATATATGTGATATCTTGGAACCTCTGGGACCAGTGTTACCTGATGCTAGACGAACCTCGATGTCAACTCTACCGTGCAGTCGTGGTGGAAGGCGACACAGCTGGGCCAAAGGTGAAATAAGCAAACAGAGATTCCACTAAGAAGCGTCTGAACGTCAAGAAGGAATGGGACGAGGAGATTTCTGACAGGAAAGGATTTACCTCTATCGGAGCGTCCGGCGGACTGGGGCTGAAACAAAGACTAACTAAGGACTGACTAACTGAGGCTCGGGGCCTCCTTTTATAGCTTAGCTGGGTCCGAACAGGTCACTGCCCTTTTCTGACGTAAACAGGGGGGAAAGTTATATTATCCAGGAGGGCCACGACCTCGTAAAAGTTGGACTGGGTTTGCTAGGCCTTCTCTCCTATTCTCACCTAAGCCTGATTAGTTTTAACTTTAATTTTCTCCTGTTATTCTCCATTCCTTCTATCTGTACAGTTGCCATACTTTATTAGATTCTTACGCGGTACAGATTGATGTTACTTGTGGCTTTCTAATTGCAGTAATTAACAAGTTATATACAGTCACGTGGTGGAACATGTGGTAGTAGATATCTGGACTATTTACAACAATTCCATGGTCTTATATCATCACATATATATACATTTATTGCCATCTATCGTTACAATTTGTAATAATTCATTTTTTGGCAATATATTTCTTTTTAATATAATATTGTGTGGCGAAGAAATAATTTATTATTTAATTTAATTATTCAATGAAAAATTTAACAGATTATATAAATATATATTACTCTGTTTATGTAAAATAATGATCAAAAAATCTCTTTGCTTGCTTTTTCAAGATTCTCTAGCTGTAGATAGTTTTGTTGAGTTGTTAATAATTGTCGACTAGTCTCCGTGACGTCATCAATAAATAGTTTCACACCATCAGATATACAAAGACTTGATTTCTACGCTATAATATCATCAAATATTATCTCTACAGACTTCACTACAATGCTAAAAGTTATTGAATGAGAGGGATTGGCTCATAAGTGGTGAACCTTCTCATTTGGAGAAAGCGCTGAGAGGGTTCACTACTGATGAGCAAAAACCCTCTCATTCAATAACTCTTATCATTTCATTAAAGTCTTTAGAGATAATATTTGAAAATATCATTAAAAAATAAACACATTGCTAAAAGATAATTGTTCCTTATGTTAAAAAATAACTTTATTAGGTACCGTTCAAAAAGAGCAACCCCATAGCTTATGTTATTTACAATGACATGAACAGGTTCTTCACAAAAAAAGTATACAATATTGGGATTCGATACCGGTTCATAGATGTCAGAAACCTACGGTTTATACCGGTGTGGCCTTCGACTTTTTATATTAGAAAAAATAATTGTTCAAAAATCACTTTATTAGGTACCGCTCAAAAAGAACAACCTAGTTTATGATATTTGAAACAATGAATAATATGTGAAGGTTATTCAAATATTAAACAAAATGTTAACACGGGATTCAATCCCGGTTCATGGCTGTCGGGAATCGAGGGTGCTACCCACTCGTCCACCGACTATTTAATTTTTTAACTGGTTCAAATTCACATAAATAGGTATCGCTCAGCAAGAGCAACCTAGTTCATGATAATTGAAACAGTGAATAATATGTGAAGTTCACATATTAAACAAAATGTTAACACGAAGGGATACAATCCCGGTTCATGGCTGTCGGGAATCGAGGGTGTTACCTACTCGTCCACCGACTTCTATATATATATTTAAATTAATTGTTACCGCCGGTTCAAAATCACTTTATTAGGTACCGCTCAACAAGAGCAACCTAGTTTATGTTAATTGCACAACGAAATATATGTGAAGGTTATTCACATATTAAACAAAATGTTAACACGGGATTCAATCCCGTTTCATGACTGTCGGGAATCGAGGGTGTTACCTACTCGTCTACCGACTTGTTTTAAAAAAAAAAATGTTACAAATTATAAATATATAGGGTAAATTATAATGGGTAGACTGTAGTTAGGAAAACTGAATAATTTTTACTTGCTCGGAGGTGGGGTCGCTGGCACTAAAAGACCGACACGTTGGCAAAAATATTTGCTACAAATTATAAAGGGACAAGGGTCGCCTCTCCAGTCAAAATAAACGTCTAAACCCAGACCTAGAGACCATGGTTTCGGGCTAATGGCCCTTGTCAGTCTAGGGCGGACTTTATTCCATGAGATCCACACGGGATATAATGGAATCTTAACAATCTGCCAAAGAGATGTTTTGCTGGTAAAGTGACTGGGCCACATATATGGCTAAAATATAGATGGAAATTTTGCCAGGAGGAAATTGATCTAAAGAGACAAGGGTCGCCTCTCCCGTCAAAATAGACGTCTAAAACCAGACGCCATCTATTGACCGTCGGCGCAACTAGCGATGACAAAGCCACTACACCAGCTTAGGAAAACTGACCCTTGTCTCTTTAGATCAATTTCCCCCTGGCAAAATTTCCATCTATATTATAAAATATATAGGGTAAATTATATAATGGATAGACTGTAGTTAGGAAAACTGAATCATTCTTGCTTGTTCAGAGGTGGGGCCCTGGGACTAGAAGACCTCAAATTATACGACAAATCCATCTTCACACA